CCCTGCCCCCAGCAGACAACATGGCTTGCTTCTGTCTGTCTGCGCAGCCACAGTTTGGGCGCGCACGCTCCGGGGTTCTGGGCCGCAGGCCCCCCCACCCCCCGCCAGGAGCAGAACTAGGGGTTCCTTTTTAGCTGAACAAACAAGTGCTCTCCATGGTAGGCGGAATCAGCCAGTTAACACGTTTTTTATGTTGACAACAAAATAAAAGCAAAGAAAAACCACCATAAACTATGTTGCTCCAGCTCCCCTTCCCCGAGGCCCCGTCCCTCGCTGGTTGTCAGGTGGCTGGGGGTCCACCCCGAGTCACGATGGGGGCACATGTCGGCGCTTGTGGGCCCTTGGATGGCAGCAAAGGGAGTGAGGACACAAATCTGGGTTTCTTTCTCCTCCGTTGCGGTTGTGGAGGAGACCGTAGAGATGCCCCAACACCTGCCGTATACAGAATATATACAATTTTACCCCAGTATCTCCCCAACCTATAATTTTAAATTATTCCAGGTATAAAGTGTATGCAATTCTGCATTATCACAAAAGAACTTGTTTTAAAAAAATAGGTTAGCCATTTTCATTCAAGTGCAAAAACTTTGTCACTTTGAACACGCTCTAGATAGTCGGTGAGAAGAGGAGAAATCAGATCGCTCTGTTTGTATTTTTTCTTTTTGTGGGAACATTTCACCTGCTGAGTGTATATGAATTTGCTTTCTTAAAAAAGGCTTTTATGAGTTTACAGTAGAATCAGTGGAAGGAAGAGTTCATAAGGGCTGTTTTTAAAAAAAACAAACAAACAAAACAAATAATTAAAAAAAAACCACTTTACATTCCTTCCTATACTCTAACATTTGGGAAGTGCTCTTCAGATGTGTTTGCTCTTCAGATGGGAGATGAAGGAAAATCATAGAAAAGGTCCTCGTAGCGAACAAAATTTAGTTATTAACTTTATAGCTATGAAATTCCCCCCTGGCATTCGTTTTTGTTCAAACAAACTTTAATCTCTGCATCATACTTAACCCTGCGACATGCGTACAGTATGCATATTTTGTTTTGAATAAAAAAAATGTTTTGTTCCAGTCTGTTAAGAATATTCAAAAAATAATAAAGGTATTGCTTAATAAAATTGCTAGAATTGTTTAGCAGTACATGCACAAATATTTTACTAGATTCTTCGTTTTAATAGTGTTTTGTTGAGACTGAAAATCCTAAAATGGTCTGCGCAAATACAAAAAAAACCACCAAAAATGCAAAATTCTCCAGTTTTTGTTCCTTTTTAAAAAATTGTTTTTTTCATGCAAATGTCAACACACATTCACAAGTGTACACACACACACACACACACAACAGGCACAATATTTTTAATTTAGAGAAATGCCTTGCTATTTCTAGGGCCACAGTGGGTGGGAAGAGGCTTGGGGGCATTGAGTTGCGGCAAGTGTTAAACACTGGGAGAAATGAGCATGTTTAAAGCCCCTCCTGGTGGGTCACAGATTTCGGTGGAGTTGGGGGGATGACAGAAGTAGGGGAGCAGTGGGTGGAGGGTGAAGGGGTGCTGACTCCTAACAAAGTATTTAAGGTGAGCTCTTTTTCAACTGACCTCTTAAAGGCTTTAGGATATATAGCCAGGAAAAAGTCTGTTCTGACCTTCCCTTCCTCTGCCGGGCAAGGCCACGCCACGGGCCACTTCTTCAGTGTTCCTCATGCTTTTATTTGTGCCGTGGGAATTTCCATTCTTTGGGAAAATGACAATCAACACAGATGCAAATTCCACCCACTCTCATGACAAGAAGTTACTATTTCTAGACACTGGGGAAAATGATTAAAAAAAAAAAACAGTATCCCATAAAAAACAAGGTTTCATTTTCTCTTAATATCTTTTGCAACTGGTTACAATTCTTTTCAAATATAGAGGGATTGGAAGATTCCACTGGACCATGTTTTAGCTTTAGTTTGGGGAGAATGACAGCTGAAAGAGAGAGACCAGAAACCACCACCACTTTATCTGACAGGTAAGTCCTCCAGAAGACAATTTCAAGAATCGGGAGAAACAGCACAGTATTTAACTGTACTATGAAACTATAATTTAAGTGAGGAAGGGCTGGTAAGGAGAGAAGGGGACTGGTTATTTCCCACACGTCAATCAGCATTGGAACTGTCTCTTGTTCTGGTAGGATTCTTTTCTTGCCAAATACATTTATTCTTATTATGTGAGAATGATCTCAGTGCCTAGTAATTATTACTGTAAATGTGTAAGCACTTCCCTATGACATTTCACTGACACAGTGAACTAAAGCAGCTTTTCCTGGGCTCAGCCAAAGGATCCAAACAGGCGATGACTCCCAGACAGAGTCAAGAAATGGCCATTGAAGATGCAAATCTCACCATACCCATGGATCATTTGAAAGAAGTTTTTCTACTTGATCAACATATGCATGCATGTTAATTCTGGCACAAAAAGATGAGACCCTGCACCTTTGTGATCATCATCTCTTTCTGTTTTTCTCATGGTGAATATCCATTGCATAGTAGATGTTGAATTACGATATTGAAACAATTATTTCTGAAAGCAAGTTGAAAATCAAGAAAATGATATTTCATCCACAAATGTATAGAACAGGTTTCCCTGTGTTTATAACTGTCTTTTTTTCTGCAATAGAGAAATTCCAGCCTGTGGAAGATTTTGATTCTGCAAAACCAAATGTCAAGTAACATAGTGGGGTTGGATGTCATTCCTTATAGCATTTGCTTTCAGCGAAACTTTATACTGACTGTTCTTTCATTAAAAAAGATAGGGTTGTTCTCCTCTCCCACAAGTGAAAGTTGCTCATTTAAACGGCATCATTAGGGACAAGGGAATATAGTTCCTCACCAATGGATTGGTGTCATTAAGTACTAGAACATGTAGTTATTAAAATAAAAGAAGGCAGGCAGCAAGGAAAGAAAAGAAGACAGGAAAGAAAGTAAAGGAGAAAGAAAGAGAGAGAGAGGGAGAGAGAGAGAGAGGAAAGAAGGAAGGAACGAAAGAAGGAAAGAATGAAGGAAGGAAAGGAAGGAAAACAAAAATGGAATTTTATATGAATTAATAAGAACATCATCTTTGCCAGGACAAATAAATAAATGAAAGATGTAGTTGGGTGTCAATTCCATGTGCCGAAGAGATGGCATTTGATTCCTGGACAACATGAAAGCACTGATCAGCCTGAGGCACCATTTGTGCTCTTCCTAGGTAACAACGAAATTTGCTACTGGAAGCATTCAGTCAGACATATGAAGGGTACACCTTGCTTTTACTAGAATTGCAGACAGGTATTTAATTATATACACATGCAAATGTACATATAAGGGGGAAGTCTATGCAGCTCTGGCATGTTCCCATAGTGATATGTGGGTGTATAACATACATGTATATCGCTTACAAGTAAAACTTGAACCACAAAATTATTCAGTCCATGACAACACACATGTAACATTATAATGAATGATTCCTATTTTTTTTTGCTGAAGTTTGGGCAGCATGTTCATGTAAAGACTATACCTACTTTGATGTGGAAAACAGACTCTCGGAATGTCTCCATTAACAAAGGAATAACAATTTTTCAGAATCTTCTCTATCTTTCAAGCATTAATGATGTTTAGAAAAAATTGAATATGGCATGCAGGTATTGAGCGATGGTGAATAACAAGTCTTTAAATGGGAGGAAGGAAAAAAAAAACACAACATTTATAAGAACTTTCAAACTGCTTCAGAGCCTAGAAATTCTCTGTACAGTGGTAAAATGGAGAGATAATCCTCTTGGTCTTGGAAGAAAACTTAAGGCATGAAGCCAAATATGAAAGATGTTCTGACATACTAGAGGGCTGTGTTTACCTGACACAAAATATTCAGATTAAAGTTACAAATTGTAAATGACCTGCTGTGTTACCTGGGGCCACACAGGTCAGTGGGAGAAAGTCGGAGCTCCCACCACATCTGATGATAAATTCCAAACGCGGGTTCTGGAGCCCAGTGAGAACCTTAGGTCTCACACATGCTTTGGGCATATAATTTATTTTCTCCAAATTCTAAGATAATTATAAAATTCCTAAGTTTTAAACTTAAAAAGTTAAAAACGATTAAAAAAAAAAGGCTCTCCAATGTCTTACGCCATATCTGCTCACATTTAATTTTGCTGCTTCTCTGGTCAATGTGGTGAAGTAAATGAGAAGGGGGTCAATGGAAACATCTTGATGAAATCCCTAGCTAAGAATGATAGTGTTATGTGCTCTTAAGATTCTTTTTTTTACCATAGAGAAGAGGCACAGGATCTCAGGGGCAAAGCCGTGGTTTGGGTACGCACGAACACACAGCACAAAGGGACCAAGGACATATTTGAATATGAGCTCACACCAGGTGAAAATACCTCATGGCACCACTTGAGGCTGAAGTGAGATAAATGATATAAATGTGCCTAGACAAAATGGGGTCCTTGATTACAGTTAGTTGTGATGATCACTCATTCATGAAGGGAAACTCATTACTTGCTTATGGGGACTGCTCCTGCAAGTGTTTCAGAGTCACTGGATTGTACTGGTTTTTCTCTTAACAGCATATTTTTTGAAACACTTCACATCTTTATTTTTTTAAAAGATTTTATTTATTTATTTGACACAGAGAGAGAGAGAGCACAAGGAGGGGGAGCGGCGAGCTGGCAGAGGGAGAAGCAGACACCCCCATGAGCAGGGAGCCCCACCCAGGACTCGATCCCAGGACTCTGAGATCATGACCTGAGCAGAAGGCTGATGGTTAACTGACTGAGCCACCCAGGCATCCCAACACTTTACATCTTCAATCTAGCAAACTGACCATGGATG